CCCTGATTTGCCAATTTAATTCCATCTCCCGCATTTGGTTCCGATGATGACGTTTTCCAAAGCGGATGTTTCTTGAAATGAAAATTATTTATAATTAATTCTTGAATTCTCGCATTAGCGAATCATGTACTGCATGATTAAATTGTCATCAAGTTGTAAGAAATTGAGATTTAGAATAATTTGAATGGAGATGTATCTTATAATCCACTTCCGAATCGTGGACTTAATTCGTCATGATTTCGAGAATAATTTCATACCTGTCCTCCGCGATTCCTCAGCAAGTGTCGAGAGTTATTCCCAAGATCGAAGTCCGGGGATTTCGATCATTTTCGAGCTTTCGTCCACAATATTTTCAGACATTTTCCGTGACTAAATCTCGAAAATGAAGAATCTACGGGATGAAATGTTTTCCGACCTAATTTAACGAAAATGTATCTTCTTTTCCCAGATAAATTATGAGATTAAGTGTGTCTATGGCTCGATTAGTGAAGGTAACTTTTGAAACACGGCAGAATAAAGAACACTGCCAGCTAATCCAAACGTTCTTTAGGCCAAACCAAAGGTGATTTTCCCAATCAAGTATTCAAAACCGTAATAATAAAGCAGTAGCTTACCAATACTTGCGTCAAGAAAGAATGTGAGTAATATTTGATAATCTCCGGAATACCGAAATGGTATGTCTTGCACAGTTGAAATGGAGAAGACTGATGAATTTTCTTATCGCACAAACATGGTACAGTTGAAAATCGCAAGCTGTCCGTAAGTTACGAAATAATTTATTTTAAATTCAGAATGTTTATATTGATGCAAGCTTTCTGATATTCGTTCGTTAATGAATTTTCATATTTTTTCAATGACCCAAGGGAGGGTTTTAACGAAAAAAATATCTTCTGGGATACGTCAGGAGCGTGCTTCATTTCTCCGAGTGATCTTCTATCGGGTTATGCTTTCTTACGCATGGACTCGGAAACCTAAACAAACTCCAGTTCGAAATGACAGGCATAACTTTCGGGTCGTCCATCGTAGAACAAGAAGAGGCGTATAATTCTCGAGTTTTCCACGTCCAACGTGCCTTTTCTTTCGACTAGGGAAACAGCCAAAGGGTGCGGCGTCGAGCCCCTCCTTTACTTTGAGCACAGTAAACGACGGTAAGTACTTGTAGCTGAGAAATAGCGCTGTCCGTGTCTTACTAGTGACCCTAACCTACCTTCACAGTTAAAGCTGAGCCGGCGACGGAAACCAGGCCAGTCAAAATAAAAAACAAAAAAGGGAAACATAAAATGTTTCGTGAGAGCGCACCGATAAGCTTGATTGCCCATGGATATTTCTATGGTTCGTGCGTGGTGTCCCATTGCCATTGATACTGATTTCCGCAGCTTCCAACTTTTATTTGTCAAATACACTATTTTTATTTTATTCTATGCAGAAGCGTGCGAGCTTCTCATGCAGAGGATTGGGGTGACTGAATTTGTTTCTTGTATGAAATCAGCTCTTGTCTTGTTCATAATTTCGAATTGTTGATCTTGACTGATTTTTTTGGTACTATATTACTTCATTTTTTATAGTTTTGTCGTAGAGTTTCTAGATGCCTTATTTCTGCCTCTTTTTTTTTAAAACGTCAATGAGAAGTACAAGTACAGCGTATAATGTAGAATGACTGATTTCTTTCTTATGTTAGAATTTTTCTTCAAATGAAGTTTTCCGGTCCGCCTTTGAATTTTTCGCCCCAGATTTTTATAAATTTTTGGAACTTGCTGGGATTTCAGAATATTCTTCCTTTTCTTAATATCTCACGTCAGCTTAGCTTTCTCAAGTTCTGTGAGCCTTTTACTGCATTTTTGTGTGCATGTTTCGTTTCTAAAAACATCGTCAGAAGGATTCTCTGCTGTCAAAATACAGGTACAGTATATCCTTCATTTGAACGATGAAACTTGGAAGAGCACATGCAAATTCGATTTTTTTTTTAATTTTTGAAATTTGAATGAAGAGTTTAGACCAGTTTTCTTATTAACTCAGAGTTAAATCCCTGTATCTCACAATGAAATTCTGGGAACCTCTTCCTGCTTGTGGAACTATTGATGTTTTTCTCGAGAATAATCATATAAAACTGAAGATTGATCTGTTCGAAAAAATGAAGAATAAAATCAATTTTTATATTTCATTCCTTCACGAAACTTCCCAGCACTGTTTGAGTAATTTAATTTTTAAATTTTGAATGAGGCCTTTATATCCGTTTCGCAATCTGATGAAAAAAGCCGAGTTTCAATGCCATATGTGCCTCGTTAACTTTCTTGCCACCTACATCGTAATTTGTTTCTTCTCCAAAAGACATGTGAGAATTTAAAATACCCTTTTTCAATAATTAATCCTCCCGAAAAGCTGGAGAACGCTGTCATGACGTAGCTCGATTTTTTTTTTCTTTACATCTCGAGCGAAGCGGTTTCACAGTAAAATAATCAAATTGGAAACGCTGGGTTTCAGTTCATGAATAGATTATTTTATCAGAACTTCTTGGAAACCCCCTGCTGCCGTTTCCATCACACGCGGATCGAGTTTGCTCTCGTTTTCCCGTCGATGTTTGTCCCCACGTGGCGTCGATTATGAAGGGAAAACTTCAGAGTCGATCAGTGTGTGTGTGTGTCTCTCTATTCCCATTCTTCCCGGAAAAAAACATTGATCGTTTTGTTGATCATGTGTTTTTCCACCGTAGCGAAGGAAGGTTTAAACGGTTTTTTTCTTTTCTTAGCAACTCCAGAGGTCATGGAAAATTTTCATTGCGAAATGGAAACGTTTCAGCATTCTCGAATGCTCTTCTGGCACGTGTATTATGTGACCAGCGTGGTTTTCAGTGTCTCTTGAAAATTAGCTTGCGATTGTGTGTGAACTTCGCGAGAAGATTGAATTCGAGTTTTGAAGCAGTTCGAAAAATTTGTCCTCATGGAAATCAGTCCCTTTTTTTTGTGCCTTACTAGAAGAGTGATTATTCAAATTAAGATAGAATCGTGTGTAAATTTTCGAATGTTCTTACGAAGTGCATGAATTTCCCCCCCCCCCCACAACATTGCTAAAAAAACCGTCGAATTTTAATGATGGACCTTTCATTCGTGCGAAAAGTTGACGCCAAAATCTTTTTTCGATTCTTCACCCAGTCAAGTCCTCTATTTCGTCTACTAGCAAAATTTAGTTTTGAAGATGGGAATCTTGTTGAATTTTTCAAGGTTTTGTTGAGGAACCTCCGAATATAAATAAGTCTCAGCATGGAAAGTTCCCGATGAAAGGATTTTATGGAGTGAAAAGGTTACGCGAAAATCATTCTGCCTTCGGCCCACTTCTGGCTACCAAATTTAATGTCTGTATCAAGATTTTATGCGTATCAATTTATTAAGTTTTTCGTGCATGGGACGTGGATTTTACTTGACCGAGACAAACCTTGGATTATAAAGAGACCTGTAAATAGAAACATTCCAGAGCAAGAGGTCCATCGTTTGTTACGAGTAGGCGTCTCCCAATTATATTATAATTTTGTCTGCCAGCAAAAATTTCTTCAAAATTTGGCCTTATCGCCAAGATGAGTCCCGTTCTTTTGTCGGAAGTTTTTTTTCCCTGTCTCATTTTTCTCGAAATATCTCAAGTGCGTTTCATCTCGCGTGAATGTCGTGGAACTTTCGTCGAGTATCTTGGGACAGGGAGAAGCGAGATGATGTGTGTGTTGATTCGTGTGTCCTGCGTGCGAAACTTGTTGCTATCGCGGATTCGTCCGTCGTCTCATCCCAATCTCGTCACGCCCTGAATCAATGTCGAGTACTTTCAACACGTGGCCTTTTGAGTACAATACTGTATTTATACTGTATTTTGTTGCGCCACGTCGAAGTCGTTGCAATTTTTGGTGACTTGGCGTACCACATTCAAGGCTCTGAACATTGGCAATTGAGTTTATTTGGAACTTGGGTCGAGGCGCCGTGTCATACTAAAAAATCAGATTTACTCTTCGTGAGAAAAACCTCTAATTTTTTGTGTACTATAAAGGCGAAAGTTTTTGGCTCGAATTTTTTTATGGCAGAAATTCGATCAATGGTGGGAATGAGATTTTTCTTCAATTTTTCAATGTTTTAATAAACTTTTTTTTATCGAGATGAAGAAATTTTTCAACGAGTTGATCAAGTCTGATGAGTTTTCCCAGTCAAATCATGTGGCATCCACTAGCTTAATCTCCTCCTCCACTGCTGACGTGTATCAGGAATACGTCTCTCGTGTCCTTGGAAGCAAAATAATACCGAGGGTTGAATAATCTAATTCGGAGAATCTTTCATTACGTCGATCGTGTTGGCCGTAAACTATAATGTCTCCCAGTTGCTATTCGGAATTCTCCAAGGTGTTTTGATGAACATACCTTAATTTTTTCTGGCCAAGTTTCGCAAGAAAAGTGCGCCTTTTTTTGGCTTGCATATCGGAGACATTGTAAGTTGTTGCCCAATTTTTAGACTGCAAGCGAAATGCAGCCCCTGCTCTTACATATGCCTTGAACACCAAAAATTAAATTGTAAGTTGAAAGAAATCTTTCTCTACTTCGATTTAGAATTTCAAGTGAGTTCTCCATGCCTATCGGAATGGTTGCCACTGACGTGTTCCGAAGATTCCACGGAACTATTCTTCTCACCACTCATGACATTTAAAGCGAGTTTGATTCATTGTCAATTTCCTGTCCTATTATTCAACACCCAACCTTGGAAGAATCTTGGCTGATTTTTACGAACCAGTTGCCGTTATATTTTTCTCGAAACGATTCAGGTTATGTCTATTTGCACACCTTTCCTCCCCAGTTCACTTTCTTCTTTTGATCATGGGTTTTCTGTGTTCTTATGATTTCCGTCAATTCACATCGTCATCGTTCAAATGCCTCTGTCACTTCCCCGTTCCATTCCAACATTTTTTCCAACTGGCTTACCGAAAGTTTCGGGATATCTCGCGTGTCGCCAGTGTTACCACAGATTGTAAAGCCAGTCCTTTTCTGACGAGTCCTGACGTTCTTGCTTGGTTTTTTTGTCTACAGAGATCTGTGAGGAGAGAATAAAAAAATACCCGTGGTTTGTGTGAAACGACCGAATCGCGCTGAAAGCTGAGAGACACGAGAGTTGAAATTTCAAAAATCGAAATCGAGCGAAAAAGGACCCCTTGAAGAAAAAAAGAGTTGAATAAGAAAAAGACGAAGAAGAAGAAGAAGAACAAGAACCAGAAGTCGGGTGACAAACATGCATATGGAAATCCAGGTTGCGCTGAACTTCGTCATCTCCTACCTGTACAACAAACTCCCGCGCCGACGCGTCAACATCTTCGGCGAGGAACTGGAGAAGGCACTGAAGGCCAAATTCGACGGGCACTGGTACCCGGAGAAACCGTGTCGCGGGTCTGCATTCCGCTGCCTCAAGACCTCGAACCCCGTGGACCCCGTCTTGTGCATTGCCGCCCTCGAGTCCGGCATGGTCCTCGACGACATCCGAGAACACCTGCCGCAGGACATGTCTGTGTGGATTGACCCCGGCGAGGTGTCTTTCCGCATCGGGGAAAAGGGCCCACTCAAGATGCTCTACTCTGAGAAGGGACGCCAAGGCGGTGGCGGCGGCGGTGTGGCGTGTGGCGTCGTGCCGGCCGGTGTCGCTGCTGCTGTGTCTGCGGGGGTTCCCGGTGGAGCCGGAGCCGTGAATGGAGGTGCCATGGCTGTGGTGCTGGATGACGGCGCTGTGGCGGTGGTGCCGAATAGCGAGATGGACAAGCCGGTGGCGGACTTGGCGACGGCGATGACGACGTTGCGAGTGGCGTCGCCGACGGCGGTGAATAAGCAGCCGGTGACGTTCACGACGGCGGCGTTTGCGCAGACCAAGTTTGGCAGCACCAAGTTGAAGAACTCGTCCAAGCGGCCGAATCGCATGTCGCCGACTGAGTTTTCGCATTACATCAAGCAGAGGGCTTTGTTGCAGCAGCAGCAGAGGCTGAAATTTGCCGCTCCCGTCGTGGTACGTTTTACAAAAGAAATATTTTTTACATTTATTTATTTATTCATTTATTCATTCCTTCATTCACCCTCCCATTTATTCACTGTCCGTAAATTTACCGATGCCTCCGTATCTAAGTTTTGACATTTCTTCGTCATCTCCTTGTTCATTCCCCCATTGTTGGATGGATGACAGAAATAAATTTTATCTTAGTGACATAAGACCATGTCCTGTCCACTGTGTATGTAAATGCAAGTCACCGGAGGCATTTGAATATTCGGGATATTAAGAAGAAAAAAAACTAGGAATCCCTATTGTGACGTCAGTCCAACATTGTACGATTTAAAAAGACAGGTAGTTTTCTTACGATGATTTGGTCTGCAACGATTTTCTCTGAATAACGAATATCTCTTTTTGGCTCAGTTGGGTTTTCCTCCCATATTATTTTTCTGATCTGAATTTTGTTGTAGAGAGAGTGCTCCTGTATTCAAGTAAATTTTTTTCATAAGTTTGTCCAATGTTACTCACGTTATTGAAGGCCGTGCGTGGAGAAAAAGTTGACGTATGTAAGGGTCGACACATGTTGTTATTGAGCTATTTTCAGAGTATTTGCACCAGTCCTTTGTTTTCCTGCTACAAATATGATCCCTTTGGTCTTTTACGTACTATAATTCTCGATTTTCTGAACGAGCGGTCAATCGTAAGTTTAAAAGATATTTCGAGTGAAGCGATTAAGATGACTGTGACCCGTGCTTGACGAGTTTAATTCAATAGTTCTGTCTGTTTGGAATTGAAATAACATTATCTTTCTTAGGATTCTCAATAAGTGCATACGAAGCCGGAATATTCTGTAACAAAGTATACTACTGTACTCCGGATCTCGCCCATCGAATGGAGGATTTTTTGGCCAATTTTTGCATTGAAAAAGCTCGACTTGCAGCGATGTAAAAAACTCATTTCATGGTTTGAATGCGAGGGAAGATGAGGAAATTTTTTTCTTTGGGGGACAGAGAGTTACAAACAAAAAGTTTTTCGTTTGGGATGTCGGCTCGCATTTATGTTTTGTGAAACTAGCGACTTCAGTCGGGATCTCATCATGCTATTCTGGCATATTACTTGATGAAACTTTCGTAATCGATTAGGAAACTTGAGTAATGGATTTTGAGAAGACATGATTTCCAGAAGGACTCTCAAGCTTTTGCTGTGGTTTTCTTGTACAGTAATGTAAAATAAAAATAAGAAGCACTGTATTTTGAGTCTCCCGTAGTAACTTCAACTGCGTGCGGTCATCTTCGTCTGTAAGTATTATCTCAGTTTTAAATTGCATTGTTTTTTTCGAGTTTTCACCCTGTGTTCCATGGGGAACATTTTTATCTTCTGCTTTGAACAAACGGACCGTTTAGTTTTCCCGTTCCTCTCCCGAGGATTCGAAGTAATTGCACTCCTTATCTCGGAGTCAGGCCCCTGATCAACAACTGGACCAAAAAATACTTTTTGAGAGCAAGTCCCTAAATGCGGTTTTTGATGGTATTTCGTGCCCGTATCTAAATTTTTAATCCTATTTTTAAGGAGTAACATTAAAATTAGCGCTATTCCAACTCTGCAAACTGCTTTAGATTCGTGGGAACCAATCGTTGCCGTGCCGTCGACCAACTCGAGCTTTCTTGTAATATAACTTATTATTCCAATGATTTGTCTGGTTGTTCGTCTCAGATAGCGTGTGATTTATGCATGAAATTCTATCGATTTCTAATACAACTTAGAACGAAATTTAGGACATTATTTTCATTCGGTAATACGAAGTTCAATTCGTGAAAAAACTCACGTCTTTACTTGGTAAATTTCTGAAAGTTGAAGATCAATACTCGGGTGAATGCCCGGAATCAAAAATCCAGAACCTGGGAATAAAGTCTGAGTTCAATAAAGCATTTTGTGAGTAATGGCATTAACGCTGTTCTTGGTGCTGATTACCTTGTAGTTTGGATTATAAATTATTTTCAAGATGATAATTTATTCTTTCATAAAATACTTGAGCGTGTTTGGTATTGATGCGGATTAATTGACATCGTTGCGGAAGGTCGTTTTGAACGATTGAAGATACAGCGCATCGATTTATTTATTTTTGCGCTGAATTGTTGGCGTATTTCTACGTTCCGAGTATTTTTTAGTCCTTCTTTTGTAATGGTTGAGAAATATGTTGGATTTCCGCATTTCAACGTTGCATCTTTTCTATTTTCCCCCCTTGAAAAGTTGTTCCTGTCTTTCACGCATTGACGGAAGCTATCAACGGAGTTGAGCCGATCCGCTACGAATTTCTGTAGTTATTTTAATCCAGGGATAATCCCTGATCTCTGAGGGTTATGCGAAACCAACAAGATTACTTGACGGAAGCCTCGTGGAAATGCGAATTTTGCGTCCGAAATTATTTGAGCTATATTCTGAGAACGATTTCACGTCCGAGAACGAACTACAGTGCTAAATTTTAAATACCGAATGAAATTATTCTGCTTTTTAAACGTCATGAAATATTCCCATGTTCACTGGAGCTTTTAACCCCGAAACGGGTTTGGGGTTATTCTATAACCTTTATTTTTTATTATGGGCACAGGCCCGGTAATTCGAACGGAAAGTAGCCATTCATTTGACCCAGAAACAGCGGGGAATGAACCTGCAGGACATCATTCAAATTAATACCATCGCTAAGTGGTTTCCGTGTTCCCCCAGCAATAATACGATTTGTTCTATGATTATTTTCCACAAAATGTGATCAATTATGAATATTTCCCACAAAATGTTGGAGTGCATATAAGAGTAGATGTTACATTATACTGTAGATTAGAACGATAATGGAATCCCTGGTTTTTTTTCAAGTCTTCAGTACAGTATTGTTTGTGGAATCTTCAGAACATATCAGTGGAACAAGAATTATTTCAAAATAAAAAAGGGATGAGATTAATTTATGTGATGTACGTCCTTGCTTCAAGTGAAGGGTGGGTATCTTCTTTCAACATCACGTGTCGAGGAAATGATCAGGGTTTTTTTTAAATTTTTTTTAGATGGCGCTTGTATTTCGAATGGGGTTTTGAATTCGTAGCAGAGCGTTTCTATTACAGTACATTATTAAATAAGTGATACCTGGATTAATAGACATAATTCGTCTTGGGGGAATTCGATTGGTCGAAAGGTCGCCCAACCAACCATTTTAAATCTGCAGTAAATCTGTCCGCATGCTCGCGAAAAGTCCCATAAATCAGAAGTGAAAAGCTTTCGTTAATTTATAGTACGTTTCAGAAACCATTGGATTAAATTATCCAAAAACTTACGAAGTAATGCGTGTTTAGCACTCGAAATGATTAGAACCGTGGTCAGCAAAATGATGGATTTATTCAAAATATTTTGTTGGCTGCCCCACTTTTTCGCGCGACTGAACGGAATTTTTATTTTTCAAGAATGTCGTTAGTCGGAAGTAAAAATGAATGCATTCGACTCGATTGTTCACGTTATCAATTTATAATGCTGCGAGGCTTCCGTTGATTTGAATTTCATTTGAGTGCTAATTTATATTTTGGAGGGAAGCGCAGTTACTGTATTTATTATTGCGAGAGTCGTTCCGGTCGGAATTCAGGAGGTTTTTCTCTTTTCTTTGGAATGTTGCAGCAGCCGGCCCAGCGTGCCAACGGGTACTCTGGGTTCCCTCGCCCGCGGTCTTTGAGCCCCGGCAGCGCCGGATACGAATTGCCGTCTCCGCTGTCCTACCTGTCTGAGATGAAGGCGCCGGTGGCCCAAGGCATCTCTCCGTTCCCGGACACTACGGGTCTGTGGCAGCCGCCGTCGGCGTCCGACTTGTTGGGCGGTCTTCAACAGCAGCAGCAGAGTTTCGGCGGCGGCACTCCGAGCCTCACTCCGCCGCCGTCCTCGGGGTCGTCCACGTCGTCGCTCATGATGGGACAGTCGCCGGCGCAACTCGGCGACCCGCAAGACCTGATGGATGGACTCAACTTGGGCGCCTTGGCGTACACGAACGCCAGCAACGGCTATCAACACCTGCTGGTTGCCAACTAAAGTCACACTTTTAGCGAGACAAATTGCTACTGCTCTTCGTGGCGCCGATGGCTCGATTTTTTTTTTCTCGCTCTTGTGGGCGGAAAAGAAAAAGAGGGAAGAAGAAACAACTGCAACAACGCGTCGGCGCCTTTTTTTCTCCTTTTATTTCTACTATGCTGCTTTTTTCTCCTCCTGTTTCTTTTTCACCTGATCTATCCACGTGTTTCTTACGTGCTTACTCACGGGATTTTTTTTTTATCGGAAAGTCAAGAGCGAAAAATTTCGTGCTTCTTGGTTAAAAGACTTGAAAGAAGAGTAGGATTCCTTTTTTGGCGGACTTATTTTTGCAACTGCCAGTACGCGAATTCCACGCGTGGAAGTTTGCACGACGTATCAACGATGTAGCGGCGATGTGCAAAAATAGTTTCCGGTCATCTATTTACAGGCGCCATTTTCTCGTCCTACTTTTTTGCTGATGAATTTTTTTTTTGGTCTAAACTTGATATAGAGAAATGTACCGTAACTGAAGTAGACTTTATTTGCCTCTCGCTTCGGATGCATGTATACAAAATATATTTTTCTCTATCTCTCTTTGATCGTTGTCCGCTTGAGGAACTCCCGGAAGTTCATCGCAGTGCTCTTATTCAGCGTACCGTTTTCAAGTTTTGTATTTTGGTCCGTTAGTCGTGAAAAAAAGGACAGAAAAAAATATGTTTAGGGAGCACTGTGTTGCGGTGAACCAAGGACTGGATCCATCGGTATTCGAAAGCGTTTTTTTTCGGTTAAAAAAAATATTGTCTTTCCGTTTTTTGTTTTGGAATTGCACTTGGGTTTTTTCGAGGTGCAATACATACGAGTGAAGTGGGTGGAAAGAAAGAGATCTTAGGATTTAGTGTTTTTAACGATTGCACTAGCGAGAAAACCGATGAGAAAAAGAAAAACGGAGAAAAGAACATCACTGACGCGTCGAAAAGGGTGGAGTTGTTACGTTATGTAATTTTGTCCCTCTTTTCTTGAGGTGTTTTTTTTTCTGCGGAACACCAACGTTGGAATTTTTGTTTTATAGCTTTTAGAAGGAAGAAAATTTTTGCAAGTTTGCGTTTTTATAGAGCACATGAGAATCGTGAGGATTCGGATTTCGTAACGAGCGGTTTCCTTCATTTCTTCTTAGTCTTTGGTTTTTCATTTTCGGGAGGATTGAAGTGGATGAAAAATTCTTGTATTTAACCGAGTTCTGTTACGTTCTTTTTCAACTGGATGATACCAGAGAAAAGCTTGGATCCTTTTTGACTCTACCGTGGCTTGGATTATATTTTTTACTCTGCTCTGGTCGTACCCCTCGAAAAAATGAAAAAAAAAAATTGGGAATTTTAGGGAGAGAAAAGGGAGTTTACTTGGTGTAGATTTTTTGCTGTGATTTCCGGTTCGGATTTCGGTTTCTAGCTGGACGTTCTTGGCTAGTGATCTCTGCGTGACTAGTTTTTTTTTTTCTTTCCCTGCCCGAAAAGATTATTTGCTTTTGCTTAATCTCTTCGAGGAATTTCGAGTGTCAGCACTTGAGGGCATCCCTGGGATGATGGTTTTTTTTGTTTTAAACAAAATGTTGGCTCTTTTTTTTTGAAGACGTTTTCAGAAGTCCTTCGGATTTTTTTTTTCGTTTTCAAGAGAGGGGGCGGAAAAAGATGGTTGTGCTGTGATTAGCCGCGTTGGGGGGGATCGGGAAGGAAATTCTGCTTCGCTTCTGGCATATCAGACATGGTTTTATCCGCGTCTCTGGGCTATTTTTATTTTCTACAGTTTGTTTCTAGATAGCTTGTCAGAGAGGGAAGTAGTTTAAAGGGCAGTCGGGGGAAGTTTTTCACGCTAGTCCCCCGTGTTATGAACTGGCGGAGGGACTTCTTTTTTTTTTTTGCAGGACTTTCTCAGGGTTGCCTGGATTTGACCCGGAAGCATTTGTTGTAGACATCTGTGAGCCAGATTTTTTTTTTCAGTTTCATTTCTTGTGGAGGCACTTGGCGATTGATCGTTCATGCGGCCTTGTATTATTTTCTAAAAAATTTTGAAGCTTGTTCTGCAAAATTAATGATTTTCAATGTCGAGCAATTTGATTTTATTTATGGACTTCTGTATGCAGTAGCTCATTCTATTTAGAAAAGAATCTTAATTTAGATTAATATTTGAGAAATTCGATTAAGATATTGATATTCGCTCCAGAAATTCGATGCGTAAGTTTCTAACATGACTTGATTGAATCGAAGTCGAGTAAATTATTATCATTGAAATTTTTCGCCTTACTGAGAATCAAGAAATTTAATATTCTATTGAATGTCCCGAGGTGCAACTGAAATTCTAAATTTAAATAATGTCGAGTTACATTCTTGGATCATTAAATGGCCTGTCGTTGATTTTATCCCAAGACTGGTGTAAGGTTTCATTTTCTTCGAAATCAACAGCTAATTTTCCGATTCCTCAATTATTTTGTTTTCCATTGTCGAAGCACTAGAACGCTGAGTAAATTTCCCTTTAATTACTTTCATCACCACAGGTGGAGTAATTCTGTTTTTTTCTGCATTGGTGCGTTCTGATGATATAACTTACTTTCTGGGACATTTTCGACTAATCAATCCATCGCACGAAGGTCAAATGTAGTTCGTGACTAATGGAACATCCGAGGTAACTAATTCGCTCCTGTTCGAGAAAAGCACGAGCATGCTTTGCTAGAAGAAAGAAAAAAAGAACCCTATTGATTGACTTCAGACACATTCACCAGAAAGAAAGAAAAGCACAGAAATTATTCTCTCTGAATCGTGTCTTTCCACGTTTACGATTTAGAATAAAAAAAAAAAACAGCTCGAGAGAAGAAAAAAAGAAAAATGAGTGGCTCGCACTTGACTGCAAATGACTAGTCCAAGGCAACTCCGGGAAAGTTTTGAACATGCCCTCGAATTTAGCCGTAGTAGTGTTAGGTTTGTAACGCATTCGTCGCAATTTTTTTTTTTTGAATCTTTCTCCTTCGCAAAAAAAAAATCTTTTTTGTTCCATTTTTTAGGTCTTGGTAACCTGACTTTGGGGTGGGAGGTGTGGGCAGAAACCAGCGGAAAGGAATCCACGGTGTGTGCATATTTGTTATCTACATGGAAGGAAGGATAAGGGAAGATGAAATTACTGGGAACGATGTTTTGTACCATTTCATCGTAATTGTACTTTTTCACTGGTTTTCATAATTGTAACTTATTAATTTTTTACTGCGTTGTGCAATACGAGATAATGTTTAGCCTTCATGAGTTTAAGAAAAAAAAAGAAAACGAAAGAAAAAATTGAGGGAAGAGAGAGAAAGAGGGAAGACTGGGAAAAGGGGAAGAAGCGGGAAAAAAAAAGGAAGAAACGAGGAAATCGGGAACGAGAAAAGCGGAAGTGTGTTGTTGGATTGGCACGGTTTCGTTGCTTTTTTTCGCTGCGGTGTGTCGTTTTATTTTTATTTTTATTTTGTTTTCATTGTGCGCTGCTGCTGCATGTTCCCCGTGGCCCCAGTTTTTTCATTGTGGTGTGTGTCGACGACGACGACGACGACGGGGAGAAAAGAAAAAAAAAAAAGCAAGTCAAGGAGTGAAGAGATTCTTGTCACTTATTCCCTCATTGTTAATCTTTGTTTACATCGTCGCTTTTTTTTTGGGAGGAGTTTGATCCAAATTTTTTCACATGTTTGGGTTTGCGCAGGAAGTACAGGAAATGCAAAATATTTTCATGATTGAAAAAGGCGAGATTTTGCTGTAATTATTTTTCGCAGATTCCAGACATTGCGTTCGAGGGTTGGCACACGCATGGTGAACCAGGAAGACACAATGTTTCAAATTTGTCATGCAGCCAGAGATCGAAATTTTTGAAATTTTCATAAATGAGACATTGCCGTAATTTCCTACAGTTTCCAGGATTTGCCCCAGGGTTGGTACAGGTTGGGCTGAAAAAGTTTACTAAATTTAAGCCATCTCGATTACTCATGAGAAAGTGCTACGCGAAATTTTGAAACTTTTGTGATTAAAAAATGGAAGATTTTTCGAAGTGAACCGGACACATTTAGACCAACTTCAAACACCCACGTGAAATGTTGAAACTGAATGCTGCCTTTTTTCACGGTGAACTGGACACATTCAGACATAATTTTTAAGGCTGACATCTCTTGGATTTAATATACAGTACATTTAATTTAATATACAATATACGTGTACTGCATATATAATTTAATACTGTTTTTACTGTATATTGCTAGAGTACAGAATAAATTTATTGCATTAATTGGATCTAGTTTCCCTCGGCACCTTCAAAACCTTTTTCGTACAATGAATAATACGATATTACCGAGATCGTATGAGAGAATATGAATTGACAATAGAACGATTATAACCAGAAAATCGCATGTAACCTGAAAGACAATTGAATCCCATTCAACAGTCGTGATTCTTTTATCTCTCGAAGAGGTTCTACTGTTCCGAAAGGGTCTACTTTTTTCTTCTCTACCCTGTTGTTTTTCTCATTCCCAACCGGGGAATGACTGGGCAACAACAGCGCAGATGATGAAGCATGAATACGAGATATGAGACTTTATTTTTTATCACGGAAATTTCGAGAAACTTCATTATAGTTCCGCATAATCTGGAGCGAGTCCCGCGGTTGAATCATGCAAAGGAGTGCGGATGATCGATTTATTACTTGTTCACGAAGATGAAATAGTCATTTCACATACACACGTACACACACATACTCACGTTCATAACTTTACATTTCCATCATGAAAATGGACGCGGTTTATGCTCCGACTATTACAATAAAAAGGAGGTACAGTACAGTACTGAGCCACCAAGTTCATATGACGAAGAATCGGAAAGTCACAATCTAAAATAAAGTCTTAGTGTATTAACATATTTCTGACGACATTGGAAATTACGATAAATGAAATGGAAATAACTTGTGTAAAACCAAAGAAGAAGCACGTCAAGTTGAATCTCTCCACGTCAAATTTGAAGGAACTGCGAAACAAATTAATGAAAGATGGAGAGTTTTTGAGTTGGGAATGTTTCTTTATTTTGTTGGGTTGATCAATGTAATTTGTTTTTCCGCCACAATATTTTGAGACGGTTTATTTTTCATAGGAGTAATACAGTATCTGCAGGATTGTGCTTAATTCTCTGCGGAGATCACAAGCAGAAAAAGCTCGCATTTTTCTGGTTCTTTTTTTTTAGACAGGTGTTCTAAAATTTGGCCACGATTAATTTTAAAAAATTGCATTAGAAATGTGACCAAGTTAGATTCGACCCGAAAAATTTTGAGTGAGGAATATTTAAATTACACTGGACTAAAATTATTTGGCCAGGAATTGACCAAAAATTCGAATCAGAAATGCTTGAATTGGGAAGGTCCAACAGCTTCATACATCTTCTTCAAATGTTCATGAGTTATTATCACGAGAATGGCAATTTTTTTGGTTTTTTGCTTGGCAACTGTCGAAAACGGTTTGCTGAAGTGGGCCAAAAGCATTGTATATCTTGTCATTCTTGGCAGAAATACGCGATCATGCTGCGATGCAGATTAATCCGAACAGTTTTACGAGCACCTTTGCAAATTTATGTCAAACCCTTTTGTTTCTCAAGTTCTTTGACAACCCCGGAGCACGAACTCCATGATTTCTTGCTTTCCGGAGATGAATAATTAAAATGAACGCGAGGACGAATTTCAAGAGTACTAAGACCTTTGGCGAATAATTCTTGGACATAATGGGACTAAAATAGGCAACGCTTGAAATTTTCCAGAGAGAAAACATGTACAGTATGACTCCCACATGCGGACACCTCAACATAGGAACAATTCGACCTAGGGACACTTTTTTTCAATAAAAAAAATCATAAAAAGGCCCAACAAACGGACACTGACTCAACATGAGGACATTATGGATAAAATTTCCAAAAATTTTAAAGAAAATTGACTATTATTAGGCTTAATTGCAAGAAACAGATATTTCCAACCCTAGGATCTATGCAAGAAAAATTCTTTGGTACTTTTCCCATCACCTTCCCATCCATTCAGCTGATTTAAAAAATCACCTGTAGCACAGTGGGACTTCCTTCTCTCTTTGTGACTTGGACGTTATTTTTACAGATGCCAACATTTCAATTAACTGTACAGCGGTACACCATTAAATGCTCCAAATTTTCTTATTGGGTTGACAAGATATTCACTGAATCAAATTCAAGTGGCAACAAATTTGTTTTATCATAGAATTCTGGAGAGTATTTCTTCCATAAAACACCAATTAAAAATTATATAATGTAAGTCTATGGGAAAATGAGACTCAACTTTGGGACAATTTTACTTAGGGACACTCTTGATGCACCAATTATGTCTGCATTTGGGGGTCTCACTGTAAATTTAAAACAGTACTGTACTGCTTTTTATTCTCAATATGACCATATAGCCATTTTCTTCAATAAAGCAACTGTTTTCAAATGAAATGTTTCATGGAGATACAAGCAAGCCATCTTGTTCCATTGGAAATGGTCCGTTATTTTCCAAAGCTGCCTTTAACTAAACTCGAACAGGTTCTGACTGCCAAAAAAATACTGTGTAGTTGGCCCATTACCAATGGAAAACCGGCAGCACAGTATATAATGAAAGCGACCATTTTTCGACCCTGCCAAAATGTGGAACATTAATATTAGTGAGGGGGCTTCCTGGATATCTATTGAGCTCTGGGCTTAAAGCTTGTATTGACTACCATCCGTCTGCATCTGGGAAAGGGCAAAGTGTCTCGGGTGCCCACTAACAAAGGAAAGGTCCCCACTTTGCATAAACCCACGATATTTTACTTCAGAGGCTGGAATTGACGCATATTGCTTACAATAAGAGGAGAGAATATGGGTTAAGTTTATTTTTTGTTTATAGGGGAATTTTGGTGTCACGCTTTCTTCTTGGGATGCTTTGATCAAGTGAAATGCAAAGTAGAATATTATTACTGAATTTTTGAGCACCAGGCACCCTTTCAGTGACAACACGCTCTGTGTCTGGTATTTGCCCAAAAACTTTTTTCACATTATTATTCCTGTGACCCAGCTTTTGATAGGTAAAACCCGATTTTTTTCAGATTAAGTAGTAAACAATTGTAACTGAATGAACCAACACTAATCATTTTAACAGGATTGGTGTACTGTATAACATAATTTCTTATGCATTACTTGTACCTGCTGAGACTAGTGTATGATTTGCACCATCCGCTTCATAATGTTTTTTAGAATTTTTGTTTAAAAAAAATATGCAGACTAAGCCTACAAATGAAATGGGAAAGTGGTAATTTCATAAATTTGGTTTTCTTAAACTATTTCAATTGTACAGTCAACCCTCTCTAAGTCGAATTTCAAGGGCCAGCAAAAAATTCAACTTAGGGAGGTTTTCAATTATAGAGGTATGAGCTACAATACAAAGCCCTATTTCTGCAAAATTTAGAAAAAATTGTAACTGGTGATATTCTTGGGCTTGAATGGCTTCTCAAATGAGTTGAAGCGATGCTGAACTTGGAGGCAGGGGTTCATTTGCCCAATTAAGTCTCTCACTTCCTTTAAAACACATGAATTTATATTTGCATTGCTTTTTTTTCTTTCTTGGGTCAAGAAAATAATGGCCAACTGGCCACAGAAAATTTGACTTATGGAGGTTTGAGGGGAAAAGCTTTCAACTTAGGGAGATTTTTAATGTACTGTACTGTTTTGAGGGGATTCAGATGGGGACCAGAAACAAATTTGACTTAAGGGGATATTTGACTTAGGGAGGTTTGAGTTATCAAGGTTTACCTGTATTTAACAGTCTTTTATGCAACAAATTGTTCAAGTTCTTGGACCAAACCATGGATTATGCTGAGATCCATGTATCTTACTGACCAGTAAGGATTTTTTCAGTCTAAAAGTCCCACCCCAGCAAATAATTTACCCATGTTTTCACTGGTATGTAGCCTATATCAAGCAGTTTTCAGTCACCTGTATTGCAATACCAACACTGGGACGCATTGGTATGGGTGATTCAAATTAGCAGATAGGCATATTGCAATACTCCTGTCTGTTACAGGTGCAGGCGCATCTTGATACACCTGTTATTTTAATCCTAATGTACACAAGTCTGACATGGGTACCAGAGTAACCAGACCCATGTCCAGCATAACTGGTGATGAATAAACAGAGTGCAGCTCATATATTTTACTGAGCATGGGTTTGAAAATGGTGTGGCGGAATAATTTGGTACGTTAAAGTACTGCAAACCATACAAGCAATTTGTCTGAAGATTTATTTAGCTCATATATTTATTCATCTAGAACATTCATCTAGAACATTTGAGACTTCACTCCTGTTTTCTGCAGTTTCCTGGAAGGGAAGAGAACAAAAAACCATAGAAGGTCACTCTTCCAACATGTTTCAATATTCATAATTCCTGAGACAGTCTGGAACCAACCATTATCCAATGAACTTCAATCCCTCTGATTTCCTGTGTGATTTTTATTGCGTGTGTGATCAATGGGGTTAAAACAATTTGAAATACATCTCTATCTTTTTTCTTTGGGATTTCATTAAGAAATCCCCAGCTGAACCTCACATCTGATTCTGGTGTTTCATTTCCAAAACTCTGCCTTTTTGTGACGTTTCAGCCATAAATGGTGTGGCAGGTGATGAATGCAAAAAATAACCCCTGGATTTATTTTTCCTGCTATAACATGAAATCTTATCACAT